CCAGGTGTTTTACACAGCTGAACGGTTGCCATGGAAATTCAAGGATTTCTCAGTCAAGCATAAAAAAAATCAACCAACACTCCAAGTATGTTTTTGATGAGGGAATAACTTTATAACATAATCTAAAGCTAAAAAAAGATCAGTTTTACATAACACTCCCTTTAATTGTTAGCAGAATTTGCAGAAATTAAAATCTCTGTGAATAAAATCCCCCAGGAAGAAACTCAAAATGTCCACCGATGCCGTCTACCTCCAGAAATTCAACAGTTTACTTAAAAGTCTAATATTTTAGAACATTTTAAAGTATTTAATAACATAAATACCAGCCTGTGGCCTCAACAGCGTTTTTTATCTGCTAAATAAACACGCTGCCCTGCCTGGCTGTGATTTAGGGGTCAAGGACCTGTTAACCTGTCAGCCCGCCCGCTCCCCGCCTCTCCGTTTAGATTATTCTGTAGAAAGCAGGTGACTCTCCTGTGTCACAGATAAGACTGCAGCGGAGGGTCAAACCCAAGGGGAATAAAAACTGAGGAAAAATAACCAAAAATATGATTATTCACTGTAAGAAAATAATAAAGAAAGAAAGTAGTTTCCCCCCTAAACTTCTTCAAGGCTATTACACTGATAGAAATTCCTCTCCCTCCTCAACAGTCTGGCCCCCAGCGCTCGGGGGGCCGCAGTCTTCGCCACATCTCAAGCTAATTTACAAAGATCCTGAATTATTCTCTTATCTGGGGCTTTAAAGGTTGTAAGGTTGATTAACAAGGTCCTGTCCTGTTTATCAGTCCGGGGCCTGGGTGTGGAAAATAGCCTACGATAAGTGCACAGACCATTAAACATTCTATTTCCCCTAATATTTGTTGGCAACCATCAGCTTAACTGATCTCCCTTCACTTTAATTAAAAGGGATTCCCATCTTGTTGGGGTCATTATGTGCTGGCGGACGCCGGGAGAGGGGTTTGTGATGAGTTCAGCGTTCCCTCTGTCCCCAGGTTGCCAGAAGGCTTTTTTCCTCCATCCTTTCTCTTCACTTAACCCCTTCCTAGCCAGGCTGCACTGTATCCCTTTTTTTGTATCCAGCGGCTCTTAAATGGATACAGGACTCGTTCAATCTGTTGGCCTCAGTGCATTGTGATTTTCCCATTAACCTAAAAGTTGTTTGTGATGCATAAAAACTCCTACTTACTTCAGAGCGGTATATTCTTTACTGTATGTTTCACCTACAGACAGGGCCGGCCCAAGCCTTTTCGGGGCCCTAAGCAGATTTTCATTTGGGGCCCACAACACCAACATGCTCTATCATTCCTAAGCTAACACACCTGCTATCCGTCACTCTGGCTCATCTGCACAGAGTGAGAGAAACACTTCCAGATTACTCTTAAAACGTACATTAAAAAAAAGTAATGTATTTATTCACATGAATTAAATACTACTTGTTAAAATATTGTCTATTTTCCTAGACAATGTTATAATTCTCCTAATGAATAACTGTTAGCTAGTAGCTGCTGTCAGTGCGCCCTCTGGTGGACTCATCAAGGACAAAAAAGACCTTTATTTTTATAATAATCACTTTTTTTAGATTAACTAAAAGTGTTATTGGGCTGTACCATGTGTTCATGGGAAACACCAGTTTATTATGTTTTCTGTCCTCATGTTTGATTATTGTAGGTCTCATACATTTACTGTTTTTTCAAAGCATCGTCCCAAAAGGTGGTTAAACCATTTTTTTTCTTTATTTCTTGTTATTCTCTATTTTTATGATTAAAACTACTTATAAAAAGAATTAAGTATTTCTTTTAGCACATGTGTAAATTGGCTGATGGTACAGATTGTGCAGCGACACCTAGCACACGCCGTCTACCCAAGATGCATTGCAATGTAAACAACATGGCAGCTTGTTCTTCTGTAGAGTTTATTGGCAGTTTATAATCTTATGGATTATCACCATCAACCACACTGAGGTTGTAATCCACAGATTTATCTTGACATACTGTTATTTGATTAAAAAATAAATTTAATTAAATTCTCTCACCAAACTGTGTCATTAAACACTTTATATAATGCGGTTCCTGTTTGTTAACTATAGTGATTAAATGCATGCTGTCTTTTCCTTTCCCTTCTTTTTCTTGTGTACTTTCTACAACGTGGTGACCCATGTGACAATATTTTATTTAAATTTATACAAACTAAAACATCCAGTGTCTATTGTTACTACCTAATTGTTGATCCCTGTAAAAGGATCCAGCTTGTGTAAAGTTTTGTCTTTTCCAGGGAAGCGTTTAGATATTCAGACTCTCTCTGAACCGAGGGGCATAAGAATCCGGCCGTAATGGTTTGATTTGCCCAACTCTAGTTGGATCGATGCGGCTGTTTACAGTTTCTCCCTCTTTCACCCCTTTTGTCTTCTTTCTAATTTAGTGTTCCCAAATCACACTCAGGAGTCTGAGTGTGTCTGCTGCGCTTGCATCTTTGCCCTCCTCCCTGCTCTCCATCACTGTCCATTGATGTTTTCCCTCTCTCTTTCTTCGCTCCTCATCCTCTCTCCTCTCTTGGTTGGTCTTGGAAAAAGAGCTGCATGCCTCCACACTTCTGGACAAGACTGATGGCTCGTCAATAGCATTAGCCAGCATTGCAGGCCTCACTGGTGTAGAACCGAATCAATAGGGCCCAGTAAAAAGTCTTAGAGGTGCTCACAGGCCATTTCAGCCGATCCTCATGTTACCAAAGATGAGTTTTTATAAGAATCCAGGAGTCGCTGCCTAATTTATTCTCTTTATTGCTGTATTTCCCCAGTTGGTCAATAAAAGATGAGTGTTTCTGCTCGCCATCACTTCCTAAGAAAAATTAATGAAAGACTAATGTTCCTCAGAATAATATAGTTATAGCAAACTCTGCATCCTTGCAGTGACATGTAAAATCTAATGTTTTTCCTTCACAAATTCTAACAATTTATCTCTGATTAAGGTTTACCTATTCAATCAATTGGTCTTGAAAGAAAATTGATTTCTGCTTTTACTCTTGCATTGATGTTAGAGGAGTATGATCAGCTGAAACCAGATATTTAATTTGGGAAAGCCGGGATCATTTGGTTTTCTGCTGGGTTCATTTCACAACAGATTTGAGACAGAAATTAAAGGGCGTTTCCTGAGGTGATAGTTCAGTAGATTCACTTTGATCGGGGACCAAAATTGCAACATTTGTTAAATTTTAGCTGGTGTTTTGCTTTCACACTGCTCTGTCAAACGAACCAAACCAACTGAAAAACCTGTTCCCCTCCTCGCCTGTGGTGGCGCTGCACCAAGAACTACTGAAGGAAACAACATGAAAACCTCTGAAGACACTGAGCGCAACTTCCTTCTTCACAAAATGTCATCAGAAATGGAGTGGCGTCAGATTTTAGCGGCTGGAGGATTTAACTTTTGACTTTAATCAAGGCCCACAAACCATTTCTCCTGCTAGCGTTAGACTCGCATGTTTGGTTGTATTTACCCAGAATGCCCTGCGCTGTAGTCCACTTCCTGCTTTTGGAGCGGTCTCTAGTTCACTTGGCATTCACATACAGATTCAAACCGTACCAGAACCAGAGACCGAGGTTTGTAGAAGGACCAGAGTTCGCTTGTTTGATCCAACGGCTCACTGGACCTTATAGGGAAACGAAGTTGGATTAAAGAGGTTTAAGCATGGTTGGTGTGAATGCACCTTTAAAGGTTTGGCTCCGTATAGAACAGACAATAGATCCATTTCCACTTACCATGGAATTAATAAATTTGTTCGACGAAAACACCAGTTTAGGAAAACACGTCGGTCCATACATTGCCTCTTCAAGTGGCTTGTTGCTCCAACACCCATGAGTTTTAAACATGCTTATTCATTGTGATTTTAACTGCATTTCTTATCTAATAGAAAACCAGAATTATATAATTGTGCCTTTTCGACTTTAACAGCTGATGAAACCAGCATATTTAAATAAAAGTTGCAAAGCTTCAAGGCCACATTGGTGCCATTACACCTCAAATCGCCCCTCTGGTGTTGCCAGAAATCTAAACAGAGAATCAAGAAAATACATAGAAATTAAAGCAATAATTAAAATGGACTTATTACTTTAATTCACAGATTTTTGTTAACCTGTCTGTCACGAGAGGACCCAAATTTGGGTCCTCTCGTGACAGGGGTGTCAAACTTCAGTCCTCAAGGGCCGCTGTCCTGCAACTTTTAGATGTGCCTCTGCTGCACCACACCTGAAAAGAATAATTAGGTCATTAGCAAGGCTAAGGAGAACCGATCTACACAGGGAGGAGGTAATTAAGCCATTTCATTCCACTGTTTTTTACCTGTGGCACATCTAAACACTGCAGGACAGCGGCCCTTGAGGACTGGAGTTTGACACCCCTGTCATTGTGAATGACAACCTGAGACCAACAGGTTAACTGACAAAAACCAGTTAGAAATGACAGATTTTTGTTTCTAGCTGAGAGGATTGGATTGTAATCTGTGTCTAACTTAAGACCAATAAACTTCGACCCACTTCCTCAGATTGGGTGAAACAGACCTGATTTCTGGATACCTGCGTGAACGGGGCGCTTATGTTGGAACTACTTTTAGTTTGTAAATTGCAGCATTTTAATTAAGATTATAGATTTCTGTTAATGGAATTTGAATTTAAAAGATTTTATCCGTGTTGGTCCAAAGAAATGACGATAAATATTTGCTGTTACTATTAATGCACATTTCTTTTTATCGCTGCTGTATCCTGACTTCAGTTCCTTTTTAATTTGCTTTCAGCCCATAATCAGACAAAGGGATTTTACCTCCGTCAGGTACGAATTCACTAACCGCAGCACCGGCGTCTCATGCCCCAACATCTTTTAATAACTCCATTAATCTAATCATCCACTAATTGGTCAAGATAGCCTTTTCCCTGTGGATTATTGAGAGCCCTGAAATCACAGTGTCTGATTAAACGTAGCTGGATTTCACACACAAACATGACAAAATGCCAGTGACTGATAAATCTTTAATATAAAAATTGTACAAGAATTCTGATACAAATTACAAGAGGTATTTGGACAAAATATGAATAAAATTCCATTTACATCCCAAAACCCTTATGCATTTTATGCAAAAAACAGACAGTTATGATACAGAAACAAATACAAGAAAGGCTAAAAATAAAGAAAGAAAAAGTCTCTTAAAAAGGATCATTTTTGTCCTTCTGTCTGCACATGGGAACACCTCTGCAGGTAACATACAGTATCAATGAAGCTTCCAAAGTCACCTTTTTAACAGCAAAGTGATGCGAGATCCTTTGCTCTCTTTTTTTTCTTTTTCTGTTAGTTTTTTGCAGTGCGACTATGAAGCCATGCAACGCTGTCGAGTGCTGTAACACAGGCCTTTTTTTAAACACAGACACTAATGCATCGGATACTCAGAAACACGAGTGAACGAACATAAAAAAATCTAATTTCACCAGCTCTTTGAACTATTTCTACTTTAAGACTGCAAAAAAAAAGTGAAAATCGAATGCAAAACATTTTATTAATTTACAGTATTTTATTCTCACAGGTTCCAGTTGGAGTTGATGAGGGGATTCTGATCTGTACAAACCAACATGTGTTTCTTCTTTTATCTGCATAATGACGTCCCAAACATTTCACCTTGAGCTACATTGGCTGCACCCATCATCCTCTCCTCTGTTATTGTTCTCACTCAATCCGCGACATGAAGAAAATGGACAGGTCGGCCATTTTGTCCCCAGCTCTCTGCGTGTGCCGTGAGGAACTGTGGCATAATGGCTGATCACATATTTAAGGTTCTCTCCGGCGGTTTGGGCCGACAAAGCGCGCTCAGTGAAACGGACGGTCACCGGCTAGCAGAACGTGTCAAGTTAGCAAACAAAAACCTCAAAGGAAAGGGAATCTGGCAGCATGAAGAAGAAACAGGTGGAGGTGCTCCTACCTCCACCTGGTAGCGCTCCGTCTCCTGTGGCCGATGACATCTCTAAAACACCATCTATACTGTTTTCTCTCAAAATGTCTCCAGTCACGTTTTCCCAGATGTTTCTGGCTGCTTGTAGCTTTAAGCTGCACCATCTCATCCCTGTGACGTCTTGTTTTCTGCTTTAGACTCATAAGTGTCATTCTAACAGAAAATCATAGTGACAAAAGGAAACTATTAAATCAGCTGAATGTTGAGGATTTGTTTAGTCATGGTTCTACCAAAAGGTTAAAGCACCTTAAACCTTAACTCAACTCTTTTTCATCTGACAAAATGTTGTCTTATAAATCTGTAAATTATTACTTTTAAACAGTTTGTGAGGCGGGATTTTGAGTTTTAGGAAACAGAAGAAGATATGAGGGACAGGAGTTGGAACGATTTGGAAGCACTATCAGAATACTGAGTCAAGGTAAATGTTAGCAGGTGTTAGCAGCTAACCGTTAGCCACTGCCAGCTGCTAACGGTGGCTAACGGTTAGCTGCTAACAATTAGCCAGAGGGGATTTCCAAAGAAGCTAGGAGTACACATTTGATCCTCGCTAGATGAAAATGTAAAATAATTAGTTAGACCTGAAGTGGAAAACTCTACACAGATATTATCTTCTTCAAGACATATTTTTACTCTTTTTCTTTGAAATACAACCTGACTTTTAAAGTTATTTTGCTTTTCAAAATGGATTCTTCTCCTTAGGAAAAATGCATTCAGATGTTACAATTTATTACAAGTATCTAGTATTAAAGTAAGATGTATGATTCCTTTCTGGTTTCTGACGTTGCTACTAAAAGAAACGAACAGAACATTTGTCTTTCCTCTAACTACAGGTTAGCGTATCATCTTGGGACGGCCGCTCTCCAGCATCTGTGCCACTTTGGATGTTTCTGTGCTGGAGAGACAGCCTTCAGCGGGGTTCCTGCTGAAGCACTTTTTTTATTTCTGCTGGAGCGATTCGATGAGCGAAGAGGCAGCGAGCGCCTCGCTGAAGCTCACTCCAGGGAGAAGGCAGGGGTTCCTGTACTCAATTTTCCCTTCACTTGGGATAAACAGGCAATTACCCATCCCTTTTTGCTATGCCATGGCCGTCCGGTGAACTTAAGCATACACTATTAGCGCATGTCCCTGTAGGATCTACGTTGCGGCGTGTGGAGGTGGTAAGTGAGCAGCAGGATGAAGGAATGGGTAAATGACTGCTCTGACAGACAAAGAGGAAGGATGAAAAAAGAGAAAAAGTACTGAAATAAATTACTACCAACCCTGAAGGAGAATAAGCACAGAAAATGAAGAGATGAAGTGAATTCAGCTTAATTGAGTGAGTCAAATTAAATTGTTTGGAGCGCACTCTCATCCCTGGCTTTTCTCCCTCTGTCAGTGTCACAGTCTTGTCAGCAACCTTGACGTCTGGCAGTGTAACAAAGTGACAAGTGAGTTATTAGACAGAAGAAGCTGGAATGGCGGGATGCCTCCAGGTAACAGGGAAGCAGCACATTTTTAATGATCGCTGCTGTCATCCTTTCCTCCCTAGTCAGCCTTCCACCTCCGCAACCTTTCCATCAACCTCAGCTCCTCTTTATCTCGGAGACAGGAGGCGCAGGAGGACCGGGTGCCTCCAGTAGGTGGAGTCTTAAAAAACGCATGAGAGGTTTCAGCCGAGCGGGTCACGACGTCCGCAGCAGGATGACTGAAAGAAGTGGAAGTCAACACTGCCGTGGATGTAAGGCGGTGTTAAAACTGTACAGCACAACGCTCGTTTCCCACCGCTGTGTTAGCACCAGTCGAGTAAGAGAAGATCTCCTTACAGAGTAACAGATGTGATTTTTTTACAAAAAAACCCGAAACCTTTCACTGGACAACATACATCACCCACCAATAAACACCTTTCCTTTGGCTGCTTTTTCCAATTAATTAAAATGTGTGTACCGTGAGGGACTCTTTGCAACCAAAGGAAGGAAAACAACATTTGCAGAATATATGTGAAGGTGGGGCTCAGCGGTGGAACAAACAAAACAAAGAAAATCACAGTTAACGTTTTAAGACTCAAGTGCATCATATTGGTTAAATGCTGCGTGATTTTAAAGACAATGTCTTGCTGAAAGAGCTTTTTCTTAAGCAAACTCATGCATTTTGGTCACATTGGAAGATTTCTCTTTCATTCAAATCTGCGGATGTTTGTAAAAACACCAATTATTTCTTAAAATACAAACTTATCCTATTAACCTTTTTTTGTTTATAATATAGATTTAGGCCTTGTATACACGTAGCTGGGTATATATAAAAACAAATATTGTACACATGGGATCGTTTTCAGAAAAGTTTTCATCCACATGAACCCAAACAAATCCGTCCCTGGTTGTTGATTTAAACACGCCAGGCCCATAGGGGGCAGTGCAGCACCAAGCTCAAACTACATCAGCCATTCAGATCGCTGCAAAACAACTATGACTTCCTGTTAGGAGTCAAACATGGCGCCTGGAGGTTTGTTTGGTGGACGATACATGCAGCCATATGACTGTCATTGGATTTAGCTGTCAAGTTGTCAAAACAACGCGCTAAACCTTAAACATACAACTGATATAGAAGAGAAAAAGGGACGCAGTTTTTTCTACTAATTGCCAACACTAAGACAACTAGACAAGGTCCAGGTGTATCACATTTCACAGGTTAGCAAAGGTTAGAGAGGTCAGCTATGCTAGCTTGACTTTGACAACCTTAACAGTTAGATGTGCTGCAGAATTCGGTGATTCGCTTCAGTAAACAAAAACATGCAAACATAAATACAGAGTTTTCTCAAAGCTCCAGTTTGGTTGGAGTTTACATAAATAATTTTTAGTGATGATAGAACAGAGTTTTTGTGTGGATGAAAGGTAATTTGTTTTCCCTGAAGTACGTGTGGACTAGGCCTTAATCTGGGTTTACTTCGACTAGGTCAAAAAGGAGTTGGGAAACATTTCAGGTTTTTTTCAGAGGCTTTGAAACTGAGCGCATGCAGAAAGAAAGCGTTTGAAGGTACTATTGCTTCGATCAGCAACAAAGCCACCGTGGACCCCCACTTTAATTCACCATTGCAGAAATCCTCATTAATTATTACACATTCCCCCTTTATAGATACAAAGTGCAAAAACAGAAAAGAAATTAAAAAACAGAAAATACAGAGAATGATATCAGTGTAAGAGCCTAAAAGAAGCATGCCGCAACCTCTGAATATCTAACAAGCAGTTAAAACAATTCACATGATTTTGGCTTTTTCCCCCATGAATCAGATTCAAACCAACGTAAATGAGTCGAACTTTAAGGATGCTACCTCTTTCTTGCCTATAGGTGGAAGTATCGTACTGTACTGTAACATAAATCCAATAAAAGAGAGGAAAAGGAAGCAAACAACCATCAACACAACTCTTACACCAAAAAAGCCTCTTGGGACGTTATTTACAAATGGAGCTGTCATGCTTTTGTAAGGGGTCCATTTAAAAGTTATCGATACACAAATACAACAAGAAGTTTTTCTCTTTTTTTCTCAGTACTATTGTTTCCGCAGGCAAAGTCACAAATAAAGAGTTTGAACAGATTCTTTGGACGTGGACGTAAACACAAAGAGTAGAAGATCGAAACAAAAAACGATGGAGGGGCTGACGAGTAAAATCACCTGGAGCTTTGCTATAAAGTAAACTCCGTGCCGATTGGCGTCATCCTGTTCTTCCAAAGAAGGAAAAGTCAAAGGACACAATGATAAACTTCATCTAGAGTCAATCATTTTATACATGGAGAGAGTAATGTCTTGCAGTGACTTACAAAGGACGGGGCTTACAGCTTGTACTTGATGGAGGAGGAATGAAGGAGACAGAGTCGTTGTTTAGTCTAGAATCGTAGAGAAGGGCATGTTTTTATGGAGGTTCGGGTTCTGAGAGTGTCGGTTGCGGCTGCGTACGGAGCTGAACACCATGTTGCAGCCGGGGATTTTGCACTTGTGCATCTCGCGCAGGTGCACAGTCTTGTAGTGCACGCGCAGGGTCCCTTTGTTGCTGTATACCTTGTGGCAGATGTTACAGAGGATCCCACCGCTGCTGCCATTACTGCCCCCTGTGGACGAAAGAAGGAATGGCGACGAGGAAGAGTCCAGCACCTCATCTTGTCCTCCTTTGAGTTCTCCGGTCTCATCCTGATGTCCGCCTTCCGCCCGCCGGGAGAGGTCCTCTCCCTCGCTGTTGCCCTCCTCCTCATCCTCTTCCAGGTCATCCAGGAGGATGCCTTCGTCGCTGCCGTCTTCGGACTCGTGTGAGGAGTGGATGCTGCTGCTGGACTGAACACTGGAGGTGGTGCTCAGGTCCAGCACCATGTAGTCGTCCGGCTGGCCCCGGAACAGGCCGTTGGTGTGGTGGTTTCTAAGGTCGTGGTTGAAGGGATGACGGGGGTATTCGTTGCTCATGTGGGAGAGGGGGTTATGGGTCAGGCCAGGGAGGCCGAGGGCGGCGCCCCGGAAGCCCATCCTGGCCATCGGGTCCAAACCCATGTGGTGCCCGGCGTAGAGCTTGGCCAGAAACTCGGCTCGCAGGTCCTTGGGCAGTGGCGTGAGTTGAGGGTCGAGGACAATGTCGTCCAGCTCTTTGGTCAGCAGTTTGCGGTGCAGGTTGATGTTCGAGCTGTGCCTGGCGCAAAGAGAGAGGCGGTTAGAAATCTAACCCAGACAAAAACAGTCAGTCTTAAAGGGCCGGCATTCAGTCAACCAGCAGCCAGTCATTATAAAAATTATATAAAATTTTACTTCATTACATGATGCTTGGAAATTGGGTCTCTGTCTCTTTAAGAAGCTCCTGCTCTTTCTGAAACTCCGAATACAGGAAGTCATCACAACATGGCTCCTCTACCCTTTACCAATGTTTTTATCTGAGAAGTATGACATCTGTAAATGTGTAGTTTCAGTTGTTTGCTAATTCCTGCTGGCTAGTCTGAAGGAGATGAATAACTGAAGAAACTTTGTATTAATATGAGCTACAACAACATTTAATTTCCCTTTGGGGTCAATAAAGTATTTTTGAATTTGAATTGAATTTGAATGGGGGAAGTTTGTTAGCTTGGAAACTGCAGCTCAGAGGTGGAGCTACGTCTTGGAGGCGGGGCTAGGTCCACTCAGGCGTTTTGCTCAGCTTAATGGTTGCCATGGAGATTAATTTCTCAAACATGTACAAAATAATCAAAGCGACACCACAGGTATGTTTTTGATGAGGGAATAACATCAAAAACATAGCTGGCTTTACACATGATGTAAAGCTAAAAAATGATTTTACATGATACCGTCCCTTAAAATATGGCACTGTGCAAAGTTTGACATTTTCAGGGGTTTTTTTCTTTTAAAGTTGTCTTGATCAGAGATTCTCAAAAGGCCTTTCAAATCGTTTGCTCTTTGTAAAATGAACAATATGTGCAAGTAATTCCTTTTAGCATCCAGGAAACACCTGAGCGATGCGTCATCCTTCAGTTCATCGTCTGCCCTTTGCTACCAGCTGTCGGCTCACCGGGAACCGCCTGTATTACCCTGAAGGTCTGCGGTGGAGAAGCCACTAGAGATGCACGGAGACATCGGATTCACACAACTTTCACTTTCACTGACATGAAGTCTATTATTGTTTTTCAGTTTAGGTGCCAAAAGGTTGCGCTAACCGCAACACTCTTCAGTAATTACTGCTGCAGGAACAAGAAGCTCTGGAGCCCATAGGAAGTGTTCACTCATCGGCATTTTTTCAAAATACATTTACATATTTGGTTTATTAGTAGGTTTGTTACTATAAATATATTTTATGTCACATTAATCATCTTTGGATGCTTGTGATTGGAGTCCAGTTCGTCTAGCGAGGTCCCCAAGCAGCTTTAGCTTCTGGGTGGAAACAAACGAATGCTAACGAACAGAAACAATGCTAACAGCGCTAATCGCTAATAATAATGTGAGTATACACAGCTATTTCTTGGTTTTTTTCTATTAAATCAGTAAGATCATGTTTTACTGCATTATGTGACGTCCTGTAGCCTTTTCATATGACAATATCATATAAATATAAGTAGAAATAATATACATGTAAAATTTTAAATTGGAGTCCTTATTGATAAATAGAGATAAAATATCTCTAATTTCAACTAACATGCAGATCCAATTTTAAACTGGTTGTAACTTTTTTATGAATGATAGGTTGGAATTATGTAGGTCAAAGGTCGTTCACAATCCCAAGAGCCATTTTTACTCTAGTTTTTGCTAAAGAAAAGCCGTTTAGAGCCGCTAATGTGACACGACCTTTAGAAAAAAGATATCTTATGATTTATCTACAGAAAAAGTCTTAAGATTTTTAAAGAACCATCATTCTATTTCTATTGAGTTTTAAATAAAAATAAAAAAACATAAAAGCCTTGCAAAAAGGCAATGGGAGGTTGTTATTTATGGATATTTTAAAAAAGAAAAATAGATGTAGAAAAATAGTAGCTGCACTTTTAGAGTGATTTTATTGTGGAAATCAACAAAATTAAATTTAATCACAGTTAGCTCTATCGTTTTAGCAGGTTACAGACCTGGGGTTTGTTAGAAACAAAGAAAGGTTGCAACTGAGCACTTTAAAACTGAAACATATTACAAGAAAGTTTGAACATTTGAACAAAGTTTGAAGTAAAATTAATAAACTTAACAAATCAGAACATTATTCCACATTATAGCTATTGCTTTGATTAATAAAAACAGAAAGTTGAGACGGAGCGTCCTGCTACTGTTTACCACTGTCAGCATCTCTGCTCCGCTCAGCCCCCAAATCCATTAGACTCTGACTCAATTAAATAGTCCACCATATTGAATGGGAGTTTATCAATTGATTTGAGCAGAGGTAATGTGATAATCGAGGGGAACCGGATAGCATATTAGCACGAGGCCCTGACAGCGTTGGTTGAGCATTAGAGGCGGCTTAATCGAGCACCTGGATGAAGACGTCTTCGCGTTAAGATGGAATTAATTAAGAGGTTTTTTTCAAATCCCTCTGTTCAAACACAACGTAGCTGATCAGAGAAACGCAGCAACAAACCATGCTGAAGCCGGGACACAGTTAGCAACACCGGAGCTAACACACAAAGCCATGCTAACAGTGCAGGGAGTAGGCCTGTCGCAATAATTAATCAATTAGTAAAATCTATCGGATGATTTACTGGTTTTCTACCAAAAACTGGATGGTAAAAGTTTCCAGTCTGGTATTTTGTCTCCAATAAACATTTCTTTGAAGGATAATTTTATTTACAAAGACTTTATAGTTCATTTTATTTGTTGTTGCTGTTGTTTTATCTATTTAGCATGTTCCAGAGATAAATGTTCGTTAGAAGTTAAAGTTTATTGACCTTTGATAAGTTGTTCTTGCATTATTGTGCCATTACCATTAGATTACCTGGAAACAGCCTCAAAACAACAACAATATCGTAATTTATCGCAATAAGTTCTGGGACAATTTATCATCCAGAAAAATTTGTTATCATGACAACAGGCCTAATTTATTTTTTAACTCCAATTTCACAGCTGCTAAGAAAACTTTAAAAAGAGGAGAGAAATGCCCACGTTACAATAAAAACGGCATAAAAACACAGAAAGGAAACTTAAGCAGTCAGTATATAAAAGGCCTGCTCCTCTCACACACTCTGCGCCTTTAATGTGAAGGGTTTCCATGCAGGGAGGGCACATGTGTGTAAAACAACAAAACAAAAGAAAAGAATAAAAGATCATCCTGGGCAGGATGGGCAAAACATGGAGTCACAATGGATTGTAGAGCTTACCAGCAGTGGCAGGGTTGATGCAGTCAAAAAGGGTCCCTTTCCTTTAATTATTTACTTCCCTATCCGACATTGTCCTGCAAGAGGTAAACATACATTCATTTCAGGGACCCTTTTCTTTTCTGTGAGCCAAGCAACCAGGAGCCCGTCCACTCGAGCATCGTCAGCATTGTGAATGGGGTGAGGGGAGCGTGGCGAATTGATCGGCCGTGGCTGTCGCTGCACGATGTTCAAACCTTCCTGTGTCTCAGTGGAAAACTGACAATATTTTCCCCTCATGTGGTTTTCTTTCTGAGTGTAATGTTGGCCGGAGAGCCGTGTGGCGACGGATCATCATCAGTGTTTTCTGTGTTTGCTGTGAGTGTTGAGAGGGAGCCACAGGCTTTTGTTTGGGTGCTGGTAATGATGCTCAGGTAGGCAGGCCCTTTGCAACAACATCTCCATAAAAACACCTTCACACTGCTAATAAGCTCTAAATTAATCTGTTAACAGGCTAAAGCTCAGGCAGTAAAGCTTAAAATCCTTTCCAGACAATAGAAATGCAAACCTGGTGTCTACGATGGAGCGTAAGGGCCAGGCTAAGAAAGACAAATACAGGAATAAAGTCATAGTGTTATAAAAATAAATTACTAATATTACAAGAATAAAGTCCTAATATTGTGAGAAAAAGTCTTACAGGAATTAAGTCATGCTGTTATGAGAATAAACGTGAAATTATGAAATGTAAAATACCAGAATAAAAAGAAAACAAACTTGTATTACGAGAATAAAGTTGTATGAAATATTTCTCGTACTATTGTGACGTTATTGTGATTAACAATAAAGCCGAAATAACACAAGAATAAAATCATGATGATGTGAAACATTATGAGAATAAAGTCGTCAGACTTTTTTCTCGTATTATTACGACTTTATTGTTATCTTGGAACAATAAATCCAAAATAATACAAGAATAAACTCAAAATATCACTAGACTGAAATCGTATTAAAATGGAAAAAAAAAAGTTTTTTTCTTGTAACATTACGACAATGAACCCATAATATTGCTAATATAAAGCCTTAATATCAGGAGGATAAAGTAGTAATTTTATAACTCCTACATGTAAATTACTAAAACAACTAAACTAATATTTTGCTTGCTGTGAAGTTATGAATGTGTAAACAGTTTAACAGGTGAATAAATATTTTTACACATCAGCATTAAATCGTTATCCGATTGTGTCTATCGACCTTTGACCTTTAAAACGGTTTTCTCTTTTAATTTTTACTGCGTCTTTACTAATGACTTTATTCTCATAATTAAAAAACAAAAACCTCTTAGTCTGGCCCTAATACTCTGTGGTGAAAATCACATTATTTAAAGGAATAAAAATATTAAATTACCAGTTTGCTTCTTCACAAGAACTTGTAAGTAAAATTCAACAAGATTTTGCTGTAATTATTTACAAAACTAAAAAAAAAAAAGCAGCTTGTGGTCATTTTAATGAACTCGATTTAACTTGTGTTGTCAGGAGAAGTGAACTGCGTCCACATTATGCCCTCTTCTCTTCATTTATCAGATTTAGATCGGCCGCTCCCCTCCGTTCCTCCATCACTCCTCTTCAGTACGCTTCATCTTCCTCCCCCCGCTGCCTCCCCAGCGCCTCCCTGCTGGCCGGTAATGCGGCTGGCAAACCAATTCGGCGGTCTCATCTTCGCCCCGCAGACGGGGGAGGCCTCCGCAGGGAGCCGTGCAGAGGAGGCAGCCTTTCTGTCCCAGCCACCGTTAATCATCTTTAGGCTCATCTGATGGCCCTTGCCCCTGGTCTCCGTGTCGGAGCGAACGTGCGCGGATTCGTTCCTAAATGTGCTCATGTTG